GGGCCATGGTGTGTGGGTGAACGAAAATGGCAGATGCATGAAACTAAACTTTACAAAATTATTACAGCTCGAAGGTGTGAATCTAAACTTATATAATTATATTTCAACAGCTTGTAAACTCATGGATGAAACTATTTCTACATATCTAGCTCTCCAAATCAACATCACACCCTTCCTTTTTCAGATTTTTTTTTTTTTTTTTTGTATTTCATTATGCTTGAAAAACCAACACTGCATGAAACTCAATTAAGATTTTTAGTAATTGGGTCGGTTCGAGATTATTGTTAAGTGTTATCCTTTTTCAAATAGGCAATTGTACAAGGGATGATTTTAAGCAACGTTGCATGTAAACCAAGACCATATTGCACAAGGGTAGATTTTAGTACGGTTAGGGATTGCTTTCACAATTCTTTTTTTCAGTGTTGCCACATTGCTCTGAGTTTTTTTATGTTTCATAAATTTTTAGCAATTGTTTTTTTAAAAATTTATATATAGCCACATTTATTTTTTATATTAAAAATATTAATACAATTTCATAAACACTCCTTGGTAATTTCATTATCTTTTAATCTTAATAGATTTTTTTTCTTTTAAGATTTATTAATTTTTCAATATTTATTTTCATAGCAATAGCTCCAACACTATAAAAAAATTTCAAACAAATCCTTTATAACTAAATTACTTAGGTAATTGAATAAGGTTTTATCTTGTGCTTTGCAAGGAGGGAAGGAGAGAAATGCCCATATTGTGCCACCTAATAAAACTAATGATACACTTGAATACAGATGAGGGAGATTTAATGGTCTAAATCATAAAACCTCCGCTTACGACTAAATATAGATATAACTAGTGCCAATGAAACTTATATGACATGATAACATCTCAACACCAAAAAGTGTACTCATTTGACCTGATTTTTGGAATAGAGTTTATCTATTGCAAAAATTGAAATTAGGTCAAAAATAAGATTTTTTTTTTACTTATAAATAACTTCTTCCATTAAATAACTCGTCTTTAAAAGATTAATTAAAAGTTAAATTTGTATATTTGTAATTTGTTGTGAAAATGCATGTGAGAACCTAAATGCAATTGGTTAGCATCAATAGTTTTTCTTTTCTTTGAATCAACAAGGAAGGATTTTTTTATTATGGAATATAAATGGTACTTCTGTCCTTACACCTTTATGGTAAAAACTTTTATATCTTAACATGCAATAGTTCTTTTAACTGTACGAGCCTGTAAACAAGACAATAATCAATAACTCCACTCTATGATAGATTCTGTGCATAAATGATACAAATCATGTAAAGAAAAATCCGTTCTGTTGTCGGGACCCTTTAGTCAAAGGAAAGTCCTGACCTGTACCATTTCAAAATTTTCGTCCTGTGAAAGTTCGACTTGTTGAAACACCAATTTAATTTTCACTAATCAGCTGGTCCATGTATTGGCCAAGAAAACAAATGACGAAACCTCCCGGCTGTTGAAGAAACCACTCCAAAAAAGATGTTGCAAGAAATCCTGTTTAACTGAGCCTGGAAAAACATACTCATAGACCCACCAATTCAGACATTTCATCCGTTAAGTTCACTCCTCTACGAGACAGATTCATCTTGATTGGTTATTTATTCAACGTCAGCCTCCACGCAAAAAGGCTAACCTTGCGTGAATAGATTTTTGTCACAATGCCTTGCAAAAAACAGTATCCAAAATTGGCCAGCCTGTCTCCATAAAAACATAAGCATCATTTACAGAATGAAGACCCTCATTGTCTTAATTAACTCCCATACTTTCCTATCCCTCCCCGTCTATCACCATTTTTATTTCATCCAAAACAAACCATAACTCCTCCTATTCACATTTGCTTCAAAATAAAGGTCTTTGTTGGGGATAAATCCCCAGCTTCAAGCTTTGATTTCTTTGCGGAATTTAACTACCACCAAGGTCAATTGATGAAAAGTATAACCACAAAATTATATAAGGATTAAATAATAAAATAAAATATTATAGAAAAGAAAATCCAATATCAATATTAGAAGTTCAATCTCAATTTCCCCTAAGAAATTTTAATCTTTTTAAAAACTCACACTTAATCTCTCACAAAAATTTTTTCTCTCACACACTTAAAAGCTCTCAATGGCTTCTAAGAAATTATTGTAAAATACCACCCTCAACACTTTAATTAGGTTAAAAAATCTCACCATCTAGATATCTAAAGAGATTAGTGGAGGCACCTCTCTTATCACTTTATAGGGGTGAGTTATAACCACACCATACTCTTGGTGTGTTTTTCTCTCATACTTTTCTCTCTCCCTGTGATTATTAACAATACATATTTATAATATATTATAAGTACTTAAGTTAGATTCTTATTAAGAGTACAAATTTAAGCCCTATTAAGAGTTTCTATAGATTTTCAAGATCTCTCCCTCTTTAATTAAAATTCTAACATAAACTAGAATTCTAAATTAGGAAATAAAGAAGAACTCAAGGATGCCCAATTTCCTGCTGAGGTGTCGATACTACCACGTCTCGAACAAGGCCACTCATGAACTTCCAATTAAGGGTCCAGAACCTTGACCAAGGTCCGGTACTTCTCTGGCTGCCATTTTATATCTTCCTCCTGTAATGGCAGCACCTTGGTCAGAAATGTCAGCACCTTTGCTTGTTCAAGACAAATCCCAACTCCAAGAAATCAAGGCATATCCAAATTGTTTTCTCCACTCAAACTTCCAAACCTAGGCCCCATTCCTTCATCCCATATGTCCTCCTCCTTATTATCAACTAAATTGTATAATCTTGGAAACTTCATTTTTAGTTCAGATTTAGAAACTCAGACATCCTCCTAAAATTTGATTTTGTTTCTACTATTTAATTTCCACATAAATTTCTTACTCAAGACTTCACCCATTTCACCTTCCTTTTCCCTAAATTAACATCTCTCCAAATTCTAGAAAGTCTACACCTACTAAACTTATTTTTCCACCATCACCCTTTTCCATAACCCCCCCTAATTCCTCCCCAAATATAGCCCACCATTTTTCTAAAAGAGCCCATTCCTCCTTAAATCTAATAGTCCTAGCCCACCTTTCTCCTTGCCCAAGCAAACCCACTCCCAAAGTCCTAATTTACCCAGCATGTTTTTCTTCCTCCCTCATTAAAACCACACAAAAAGCTTCTTTCAATTTTTCCAAACTCAAAAATCACACTCAATGGCATTTTAAAGAGATATATAAAGGAGTTTATAAAAATAAAAATAAATAAAAAAAAGAAAAAAAGAAAAGAAAAGAAAAGAGACATAAAAGGAAGAAAAGAAAGTACCAAATTAAGGAGAATCAATCGACCACTAAAGGACACAGACTTTGCCCTCCAACCTGCACCCGGCTTTCTTTGAAATTTTACAATAATTGACCTCCACATCTTAATTCGACCTGGATTATCACCCACTGGCCTCCCAAATATGAAAATGGAAATTTCCCCTCCATGCATCTCAAGTATGAAGCTACACTTTTTAATCAACAATGTATTATCAACAATAATTCCAAAAGAAAAATAATTGGTATATTCTTCACTTCAGTATACTTCGCAATATTTATTAGTTTAATTATTAAAATCTATAATTTTAGTTTTTTGTCTTTAATTCAAATTTAAAAATAATAATTTCTTAATAATGTATCATAAGGTGTATTAAATCAAAAAATATATTAATCATTATCCATTCCAAAAATACTATTCTTTTTAAAATTAATTCTCAAACCAACAGCAACTTAAATTTAACAGAGGGATTAGAAAGATGAGAGAGAGAGGTAGAGAGAGAGAGAGGAGCAGGTGGTGGACGTTGATCACGGGCAAGACAGACGATACTGAATAGAGAGCATGCAAGATCACGTGGAAGAAGCCAACAGAGGGGGGTTGAAGTAGGAAGCCAGGGGCATATGCAGTATAACCAAATAGGAAGTCAGAGGCAAATGCAGTATAACTAGGGACAGTGCCAAGAAGAGCAGAAGGGGGAATCTTATTATCGAAACCTGTTTCAAAAAGTGCAGCAAAGGGAATTGTATAACAGAGGCTTGTACAAACAAGCCACCTCGTACTTTTTCACAAACTTTCTAGAGGATTGGAGTTATGCAGATATGTGGAGAACTTTCCTGGCATTTAGGAGAGTCTATGACATCTACAGTCCTAACAGGAAAAGTAGGAATGGCAGCAGGTTCGGATTTGTAAGATTTCTAGATGTGAAGAGTAAAAAAGAGCTGGAAAGGCACTTAGATTAGATCTGGATTGTTGGACGCAAATTATGGGTCAACATACCAAGATACAATGAAGAGATGAATGAAAAAGGGGAGAAAAGAAACAAGCAAGTACTGGAGACAAGAACACAGTATAGAAGCTATGCAGAAGTGGTGAGTGACCAGGGAAAAAACAGAGTGTATGAAGAGAGGAAGTTTCAGAGCAACGAAGATCAAAGTAGGGGAAGAGGAAGAAGTAGAAGCAGATCAAGACCAAGAAACCGCTCAAAAGGGAATAGAAAAATATGGCAACAGATAGGAAAGAGGGAGGATTGGTCAGGAATAGAGTACAAGGTAAAAACTGAGGATTACTCTTGGCTCTATGGCTGTTATGTAGGAACGGCACACTCTGTGGAAATGGTCCGGAATCTTTAGGAAAAATTCTACATGGAGGGGTACTTTTCATGTCGGATTCGAGCAATGGGCGGTAAATTGGTTCTCTTAGATTGTGAAGACAAGGAAGAACTGAAAGACCTGGTGGAGTTGGAAGCAAATTGGCTCGAACAATGGTTTGAGGAAGTGCGACCTTGGACACCAGATATGGTGAGCAAGGAGAGGTTTGTCTGGATGAGATGTCAAGAGGTTCCATTAAATGCCTGGGAACCAGATTTCTTTGCTGCTATGGGCTGTGCATGGGGAAATTTTATATGTTTGGATGATAGCACAAGTAAAAGAAAGAGGTTTGATATAGCTAGGTTCTTGATATCCACTCCCATCATGAATACAATATCAGTGATGCGGCAAGTTAAAGTTAACGGGATCATTTACAACATCAAATTTACAAAAGAAGAGTTCACCAACAACTTCTTCTCACTGAAACAAGATTTTATGCCTACGTTCCAAAGTGAATCAGAGGAGCATGAATCATTGTCCATGGATAGTGACATAAAGGAACAAGAGTTCAAAAATCCAGGGGATGTTGGAAAGGTTGAGATGAGGTCTCCGGTGACAGAGGTTGAAGATGATGACGTGGCAAGCTTCACACAAGAGACAAAGAAGAGGCTTAGGTCACAAGCTGAGGAAAAGGAAGAAAAATCCGTTGAAGTTGTAGGTGACAGCTTATAAGAAATTCAAATTTTGATTGATGGGGAAGGCAAAGAAGAGGCAGTAGGAACAATGCAGATGCAGAGGCATGGGGAATGCCATAAGTCAGTTGGTTTTGAGGAAGAAAGTAGGAAGCAATTGGGCTTTAGAGAACAGACCAAAGAAAAGCCTAGTAAAGAGCCAAAGCAAATTCGGACATCAACCCAACAATGGAGGAGTCCATAAATATGGCCTTGGCCCAAGTAAGCAGATCGGGGAACACAAAATCAAATGCAAATGAGGAAGATTATAGAAACAGAGGGAGTGCAAGCGAAAATGACGAGAGAGAAGAGGAAGACCCATTCTGGAAAGGGTTCGAAAGTGAAGAGGGGAGGTTAAAAGAATGGATGGGTAGGAAGAATGAGGGGATCCCGAAGAAGAAAAATAGGAGAATCAGATCTTGTAAGGCGGTGTATTTATCAGCAAGAGCAATAGGTGAAGACGCACAAAGAAGAAAGGGGCGAGGAAAAAAGAGAAAGCAAAAAACAAGAGGAAAGACAACATTAGAAGACACACTTTGTTCTAATGAGGAAGTTGCTAGTGGGTCAGTGGGTGACGGTGGAATACATAATTGCAATAGAATATGGAAGGGGCAAGTGCGACAGCATATAGCTCAGGAAATATGGGATTTCGCCAAGCAGTTAGGTGTGGTAGCGGAGAATGAAGAGCAGGTAATACAGAAAATAGAGGAGAAGGAAGACAGAGACAGACGAGCAAAAGAAAAATGGTGATGAAGGATGCTGGAGATGAAAAGAGGGTAAGTAAGAACTCTCATGTTTCTGATGTCATGTAATATAAGAGGGCTAGGATGGGGTGGAAAAAAAAGACAGATTAGGGATATTGTGAGGAAGGAGAGGATTCAATTTTTAGCTTTGTAAGAAACTAAGATGGAGGTAGTAGATAGAAAAGTATGTAGGAAAATATGGGGGACTGATGAGTACGATTGGATCATGAAGCCATCAGAGGGGCTGTTTGGAGGATTACTGTGTATATGGAGCTCAAAAGTGTTCAAAAAAAAGAATGTCCTGGAAAGGAGAAATTACATTGGTGTGTATGGGTTATGGGGTAAGGAAGAAACACCAGTGTATATTTTGAACATATATTCTTCTTGCCTCTTGACGGATAAAAGAGCCTTATGGGAAGAATTACAAATGATGATCACTACCTATAAGGGCAATTGGTGCTTGATGGGTGATTTCAATGCAGTGAGGAACACAAAAGAAAGGGCAGGGTGTAAAGGGATTTCCAGGGAAATAAGGGACTTTGATGGCTTTATTTACGAAACTGGATTGGTAGACTTACCATTAGTAGGCAGGAAGTATACCTAGTATAATGCCAATAGTCAACAAATGAGCAGGATAGATAGATTCTTGCTATCGGAAGACTGGATTTTGAATTGGAGTGATGCGAAGCAATGGGGGTTGAGAAGAACAGTGTCAGATCACTACCCCATCATTTTAAAGAATGAGATGGTTGATTGGGGCCCTAAACCCTTCAAATTTTTTGATGCATGGTTAGAACAACCGAGATGCAAAGAGGTCATTAAAAAGGCATGGAATTCCAGTGACGAAGAAGGTTGGAAAGGCTATAGGTTCAAGGAGAAATTGAAGAGAACCAAGAATGCCTTAAAGGAGTGGAATGGCAATTCTACAACAAAAGTGGATAGTAAAATTAATGAGGCTGAGAAGGAGATTGCATTACTCGATAACAAAGGTGAGAAAGACCAATTGTCTGCGATTGACATTGAAAAGAGGAGACAATGTTTTATTGAGTTATGGAAGCATCTCAAAATTAAAGACAGCATGTGGCAACAAAAGTCAAGAATGGCGTGGCTAAAAAAAGGGGATGCAAACACAAAGTTTTTTCACAGATGTGTGAAGGGAAGATGGAGGAGAAACGAAATAAATAGCATACAAATCAACAACAAACAACACACTGTGGTGGCGGAAATTAAAGAGGAGGTGGCCAAGTATTTTGAAGAGTTGTTTACAGAGGAGCAATGGCAAAGACCGAAGCTAGAGGGCATTGATTTTAAATAAATATCCAGTACAAATAGTGAACTTCTTATGGTTGTATTCTTTGAAGATGAAATTAAGGAGGCTGTTTGGGACTATGATTCTTCAAAATCTCCAGGTCCAGATGGATTTAATTTCAGATTTGTCAAGGCCATGTGGGAAGACATAAAAGCAGATGTTGTGGGCTTTGTACAGGAGTTTCATAGAAATGGCAAACTTGTCTACGGGTCAAATGCCTCATTCATTGTCCTAATTCCAAAGGTAGACAATCCCCAAAAGATTGAAGAGTATAGACCTATATCGTTAATTGGGGTCATGTACAAGATCATTGCAAAGCTGTTAGCTAATCGGCTTCGCAAAGTCCTGCCAAAGATTATCGGGGAGCAGCAGATGGCATTTATTGGAGGTAGACAATTAGTAGAAGGAGCAGTGGTGGCAAATGAGATCATCGATGAGGCAAAGAGGAAGAAGATGAAGAGCTTTCTATTCAAAGTTGATTTCGAGAAAGCATATGACAAAGTCTGCTGGGAATTCATTGATTATATGTTGATGAGAATGGGATTCAGTATAACTTGGAGAAAGTGGATACAAGAGTGTTTAAGATCAAGTACGGTATCAGTGCTTGTCAACAAGAGCCCAACAAAGCAATTCACTATCCCCATTTTTAATTCTGATTGTGGCAGAAGGATTGAACGGGCTTGTGTCATCTGCAGTTGTTAAAGAGCAGTATAAAGGAGTGATAGTTGGAAACGAAGCTGTATCGGTTTCTCACTTACAATTCGCAGATGATATGATATGCTTTGGAGAGAGGCAACTGAAGAGAACATTTAGGCAATTAAATGCATCATGAGGATTTTTGACCTTGTCTCAGGGCTAAAAATCAAATTTGGGAAAAGCTAGCTAATGGGAATTGGAGTTGGGGAGGAGTGGAGGGCGAGAATGGCCTTTAGATTGTATTGCAAAGAGGGAGGATTTCCATTTAAATACTTGGGGATCCCGATCGGAGGGAACCATAGAAGGATTACCATGTGGCAACCAATGGTAGAATCCTTTAAAAGAAAGTTAGAAGGATGGAAAGGTCGGCATCTCTCTTTCGGTGGTCGTATCACGCTCATAAATTCAGTCTTGTCTAGCTTGCCCATCTTCTTGATGTTAGTTTACCTAATCCCAAAAGGTATACTTCTTGCTATTGATAAAATTCGTAGATCTTTTTTATGGGGTGAGATGGGTGAAAAGAAAAAATTAATTGGGTAAGTTGGGAGAAGGTATGTGAACAAAAAGAAAGAGGAGGGCTGGGGGTGAAGGATTTGAGGAAGTTTAATTTAGCATTGATGGGTAAATGGTGGGGAAGATTAGCATCAAATGATGAAGGTTTGTGGAGAGAACTTATTAAAGGAAAATACGAGAATCAGAGGGATAATTGGATGGATTGGGTAAGAGAGGGTAGAGGTGTAGGCTCATTATGGTAGAGGGATATGTGTTGTCTCGACACAATAGCAAGAGACAGAGAAGGGTGGCTAGCAGAGGGTTTTAGGATACAACTAGGAGAGGGAACTAAGGTGAGTTTCTGGTGGGATAATTGGTGCGGGGAGGGATGTCTTGCTAATAGATTTCCGAGACTGTATATCTTATCAACAGGTACGGAGAAGAAATGCAATCAAATGGGCAATACAGAGGACGAAATGTGGAAATGGGACCTGGCCTGGAGAAAAATCCTGTTCGAATGGGAAGCTGATAGCGCAGAGGAGCTTAACGTCATGATCACAGATACGAGAATTTCACCAGGTAGCCCAGACAAGTGGCTGTGGACACACAACAATGATGGCAAGTACTCAACCAAATCAACTTACTCAATGTTGATAAAAGATCACGATGGATTAAATGGAGCTTCAACTTTTAAGAGGGTGTGGAATCCAATTCTTCCAAATAAAATAGCAGCATTTAATTGGCAAGTTTTATTTAATAGAATCCCAACCAAACTCAATCTACTAAAAAGAGGATGCGCCAAAGGATGGGAAGACAACAAGTGCGTCATGTGCGAAGCAGTGGAGGAAGATTCGGATCACCTATTTTTAAAATGTAGGTTGGTCAAGTGGTTGTGGAAGGCATATGCAGCGTGGTGAGGAATCAATGTAAGGCTGGAGAATAATTGTTTGGATACATTCAACAAGCTCGGGGAAGGGAACAAAGATTCATGCATTAGAGAAGGCTGGGACTGCATCTGGAATGCTCTGATCTGGTCGGTGTGGTTAGCAAGAAATCAGAAGATTTTTCAACAATCAGAGCAGAAAAAAGAAAAGATACTGGAACTCATACAATTGAGAGCTTTCTTATGGATTAAAGCAAGAAATGCAAGATGCACATTTACCATTTCTGATTGGCTTAACAATCCAACTACATGTCTTACAGTTAACAGTGGAAGGAAAAGGAAAAGAGCAAGCAGGACAGATAAAACAAGTAAGGAGGGATAATGTTTAAATGGATGATTATCAGTTTGCTGTTTATGTATTAAGGGTAGAGTACCCCTTGTACTCATATCATCAATAAAAGTATGCTTTGCTGTGCAAAAAAAAAAAAAAACCAACAGCAACTTAAACCATTTTAAAAATCCTTTTATAGTCCATAGATTATCAAAATTATCCTCCCTTATCAGCATAGTATCATCAACGAATTGAAGGTGTGAGATGCAGAAAGACCTTGAACAAACACTAATCCCTTTAAAAAGCCCCAAACTTTCTACATTTTTAATCAATCTATGAAGGAATTGCGCCACCAACAAGAAAAGGAAGGATGAAAGTGGATCACCTTGTCAAAGCCCTCACTCGAGCTTAAATTCTTTTGTTGTTCTTGTATGCACAAATTGATAAGGTTGCAGATGGCTAGTTTTCTAAGTTTTGCAACTTTTTTGTGAGAATTTGAGATAAACAGTAAGAGTATCCCTTATACTCCACAAATAAAATTTTTTTTGCTGTTAAAAAAAAAAAAAAACTATATAGAAGTACTTGCAAATGATAAGCACTCCATAATCCACTTCTTCCATTTAATAATCAAAACTAAGCTTAGCCATCATGTCATCTAAAAACTCACAGTTAACTGAGTCATAAACCTTCTCAAAATCTACCTTAAAAGAGCAGCTTTTCCTCTTCTTTTTCTTCACATCATCCACAATTTCATTTAAAATCAAAATACCATCAACAATTTGTCTATCTCCAATGAAAGTAGTTTGATTTTCACAATTCACAAATAACACAATCTAAAACCTTCTTGATTCTATTCGTAAGCAACTTCTCAACAATTTTGCACGGTGAACATCAAATTAACCTAAAATTAATTGAGGATATGTAGAGTAAGCCATATATATTTTATATTTGACTTATATGATTTTTTTTTTAAATGTGAGTGTTTACACCTTAAAAATAGATTAATGAAATAAAGCCATGTGTTAGGAGTAAGCCCAATTTTTAATGGGATTAGGTTGATTTGAGTTGGGCTAACTTGGAATTCAACGGCCCAAACGGAGTTATAAGGAAGTTGGATTTCAAGTGGCAGAAGATAAGCTGGGTTTTGATATTTTGAGTTTGATTTAAAGTAGGAAGTTGAGAGTTTTTAGGTAGCTATCTTTAAGGTTTTGTTGGAGATAAGATTAAAAAAAATTACTAGACAACTGCCAGACATGGAACCCCCATTACTTGATCATGGTGGAAGAGGGCCGAGATACATGGAGGAAGTCTCCTAACACCGAAGAAAAGAAAAACAAAGAGAAGAAATCAGGTCCAAACGGCCTACCCTACACACACTACCCAGAGCATGTTTTTCAACTTTTAGACAACTTTTTTCAGATTTCAGCAATAGTTTCCAGATTCGTTTGCAAGATATGTTCTTGTTCATAGCCTTAGGTTAGCTTTTTCCATCCTTGTTCATATTTTCTTTCAAAGATTTCAACTTAGGTTAGTTTTTAAGCATTTAGAAGTAATTCATCCTTCAAAACAAGTCCACCCTACTAATTTGGTTAATTCCTCTTTATTTTATGGATTCAGCTATGTTATTTGTTCATGTAAATAGGTTGAATGCTTTCTGCCTTTGTTCTTTTGTTTTTGCACAACAGCCAGACATGCAATTTACTTAATTTCAATTTCCAAATTTAATTATATAAGTTTCTAGACTTTAATTATTTCGTAGTTTCTTCTTCAGTTTTAGTTATCAAGTAGTTTAGCTATTTTTATTTTAAATCTGTAAGTAATTAAGTTTAATTGTTATGGATTGTATAGTAGAAATCGTTGTCTGTGATTTTACATTTTTTATTGTCTGCAAATTTTATTTTTATGGCATGTGTTTTCTTTTATTAATCTCATGTTAGATTAGTTGCCTTAGGATTTTGTGTTAATTTTAGGATTTGTAGTTTTTATTACACTTTTGTGGTTGAAAAGTTCTTGAAGGTTTCCAAGGCAATTAGTAATCCATTTTGCAGAACTCCACCATCTGTTTTGCAACATTGTCTGGGATACAATTTATTTTCACAGACGTTCTTTTTAGCCATCCTATTAGAGGACGACCGCTGAAAAGGAGAAGAGTTGTCTGAAAAATCTTATTTTCTTGTTTTTAGACAAAACAAGTGACATGTCTAATAACCAAATTCACATGGTAAAGACTGGTTGAGAATTTCACTTGACTTAATATGCTTTTTTCAAATATTTGTTTCAAATATTTATTATAATTTTAAGATGTTTGTCTTTTCCTCTCTATTTTTATAAACCAAACAGATTTTTAAGATCTAATTCAAATACATATACTTGAATTTCATTGCAACGCACAGATCGACTTCAATAACTTAGTTGCAATAACCTTTTCAATAGAATAAAACTAAAAACTTCAAGTCGGATTAGATGGTAGATAACGAGATCAAAAGAATCTTATAACCTAAACGAAAAGAAAAGTATATATGAAGCAATCCAAATGACAAGACATGACCGTTAGAATATCATTTCTTTTTTCTTCCATTTCAGTATTTGGTATCTTTCTTATTCACGCTTGTCGTCCAATGATTCCAATGCTATTAAAGATCTTTCTTCTCAGGACTTTTGTCAAACAAATTTATTGCAATCAAAGAAAAAGGAAAAGAAGTGGCAAAAACCCTTCCAAAATCCAAAGTTTTGAAACTGGATACCGGGTGTTTATTTTAGAGTTTTGTCAACCGTTATTAATTGTTCAACTCTAATTCAATTAATCAAATATTTTAAATTATAAATAATAATTATTAATTATTACATATTTACTTCTCCTATCATATAATAGTTGACTTTTTATATTTTATTCTCAAACTAAAATTTTAGAGGCTACTTATAATTGACATATATTACCATTAAAAAATATAAAAATAATAAAAGTATTTTTTTATCAAATTACATATTAAAAATGTAATTTTGATGCTAAAATTATCAAAATATTCATAATAAAATTCGTTTTTATATTTATTTATTAATAGCAATTTAGCAATTTCAATGGCAGAACAATACGTTAAATATGCCTTCTAGATTAAAATGCATGAAACTCTAAAATGAATGAGTCTTTTTCATAATAGAAAAAATAATTAAAATTAAAAAATAATAATAAAATTAAAGTAAGAAAAAATATTTAACTCTAAAATATAAAAAATAACTATTATTTTAAATTAAAAATAGTTATTATTTTAAAACAAATGAAGTACAATCAATAATACGTTTAATATGCGAGAAGAACAGGGGTAAAAATTCCTCTATTTAGTTAGAAAAGAAATTTGAAGGGTAAGGAGCAGGAAGCGAAGTCCTTGCTCTTCTCTTCTTTATTTTTTTTTTTTTTTTTTTTTCTTTTCCTTTAGGACTTGTTTACTTATGTGGCTACTTTATTGAACAAGTTTTATTGAAAAAGTGGTTAAATTAGTATTATATGTAAAGTTATTAAGTTTTATGATAAAGTTTTATTGAAATTTTATTAAGTTATTAAGTTTATTGTATTTGGTAATAAATTAATATAAAAAAATTAATAAAAAATTGTTAAATGGATCTAATATAAGTTATAAAAAAATATTTTTCTTTTAAAATAAGTTGAAAAAACTTTATAAATTGAAAATTATGTTAAGAAAATAAAATAAGACAATAATTGGTATATCTTCCAATTTAATACACTTAACAACACCCATTAATTCAATAATTAAGAAACTAATATTTTTAAATTTGAATTCAAGACGAGAAAATTTTTAAAAGTAAATTTAAATGATTGAATCGGTAAGTGTTATTAAGTGTATTGAACTGGAAGGTGTATCAATTATTTTCTAAATAAATGTTCAAAATATCACTTTTAATTTTTTTTTAATTTTAATATGTAAAAAAACATTAAAAAAAACCTTATAACAAATTTAAAAGAATTTAAAAAATAAACTTTTTTTCTAATTAAATACTCTCTTAATTTTTTTTTTTTTATCTAAATGAGAGGGGAGGAGGAGTGAAAAAAGAAAAATAAGTAGATGTATCTTTATATTTCCCTCTTTCCTTTCTCTTTTAGTATTTGTTTCAAACTAAATATATTATAATTATATTAATTTTATCTAAACGATTAACCCGAACACTGTATGCTGCAGTGTCATGTTGTTCAACTATAGTCAGGCAAGTTGCAAAGCACTCCGACGAAAAAGGTTAGTAATGGCCGCAAACTTTGACGTCGTCAGCCGAAAGCACCGGATCCCAGGAAAAAATGGTCCCCCACCAGGCCACCACCCACATCAACCCTACTACAACCTCCCCCCTTGCGGAAGTCTTCCCCTCAATAATAATGGTGTGGGGTGGCTGCTGCAGCGTGGGGAAGAGCGCACCGCACACCTCAGCTTTTCCCGCCCCAACCTTGGGGTTTTGAGTGGCTAAGTGCCAAAACATTTGTCGGTTTCTGAACTTTGAACTTTTCAAAGTCTAGTTTTACTTGGGTTCTTTTCTTGGATTTCGCGCGATCTCCCCACTACACATGGCCCACCTGGAGTTCGCACTTCTGCAGCCAACTTGGGCGGAGGCCCACCGCGGCTTCTGCATGCGCAATGCAACCACGATTTAAAGGTCGCAATCAAGGAGATATTTTTAAAATTAATTTTTTTCTTGTAGTGGAGTGGCTTAATTCGTTAGCGTAAATTTTTAAACAGAGATGGTCACAACGGCATAGTAAAAGTATTTAATATTATTGTTGAATAAAATTTATTAAAATCATAAGTTATTTTATAATTTAAATTATATTTTTTTATGTAATTTTAACCAAAAAAATACAATTTTTTTTTTTAAAAATAGTTTGAAGAGGGACTCATTTGGAAGGCTTTGTTTAGTTTGATTCTTCTAAGTAGTTTATAAATGATAGATTATATTTAGAGAAAGATTTTTTTCAATATATATCTTTTTTTTTTTTGTAATTTAAGCATTAAAATTATCAAAATATTATTAGTTAATAAACACAATGAATAAACAACATTAATCTTTCTTCAAATGCACCTTTACATTGATACGATGTATTTAAGAAAATTAATTTTTTTAATTTTAAATGAAAATTTTAAATCCTAAATTTCATTTATAAACAATACTTACTTATGGAATCTAACTCTTTGCCTACATTTTTATAGAAATTATAAACATTTAAATTCATGAAATTCTCATTCATTACTAATATTTTTAAAACTCAAGAGAAAAATTTATTTATTGTAAGAACCTCTAAAAATACCTCCACCAAATCAACACCTTAGTTTTGGTGAAAATCGAGAAAAAGTGTTGAGAATATTTCTTTAATTAAAAGATGGATGCCAACTTATATTACAAGTGTCATTAAATATTCGGTCTATATTTTCCTAAAGTGATGTTTGGAGTGATATTTGATTCGACAACATGATGCCACACAAATTTCTAAAATGATAAGTACGTCCAAAAAGCCATAGAACAAGCGACACATGCAGGATGAAGCAAAAAGATACATCATATATTAGTAGTATAGCATTAATATATAATAATTGCACCACCGAGTTCATCGGGGAGTCGAGATATGTACAAGTAGCTAGGGAGGAAAACTTGGAACATAAAAATGGAAAGCAAACTATATTATGAATATGCCATGCTACATGTGTTTACTCTTTTCAAAAAGAGGAACTTTTTCTTTGTAAAATCTAATCCGCGTGTGCATCTCATGATTGCTCTCTTGGAGGGCCATGGGATGGGGTCTACAGCATCATGAAAATATTGCCAATGTTATTAAGTTCAATAGTATTGAGTTGAAGGAAGGAATTTCAAGTTCAGATGTTAAATTTATGCCTCTTATTAGAAGGGTCTGGAATAATTAAGGAGGTACATATATGGTACTCCCTTTTTATAGATTGGTGTAGAAACTAAAAGCAGTTACATTTGAAACACATTCAAGTTAACACAAGTAGTAAGGATGGATATTGTATAAATAATTTTAATGGGTCAGATTTAGAAGATTAAAAGCTTTACCAAGTGTATACGAATAAAATAATTTATAAATATTGAGGGGATTAGTTGAATCAAAGATTTAAATATCCATGCTATAAAAAAAAATGTAGTTAAATTTAAGTTGAATCAAAGCAATTACATAAGCTGCACTTTTCTCAAACTTGAATATTATGAACCTTGATGTTGTTTTTCGGTGAAGGATTTGTTTTAGCATGGAAAGTTACTAAGGGAGATAAATGCTACAAATATTTGTTTAGTGCTAAAGAAAGTGTCCAGCTGAGGTGAGGAATTATATACCTATTTCTTGCTCAAATCATCTATAAAGTGATTACAAAAATATTAGTAGCTGGAAAACAAAAACTAGTGTTGAAACAAAAAAAAAAATTTCAATTATTATTGATATGTTATATAAAAGTATTACTACATTATATATAAATATGCCAACCACGGCTGGAGACCACTGATAAACATTCAACGGTGTGATACTTTAATCTTAATTTTGAGTCTAGCTACTGACTTTAATTTTTTCATTTTCTAAATATAGTTGTAATTTGATTGTCTTATTAAACAAAAAGGAAAATGATTTGTGCACATCCGGGTCAACAACCGGGTGTGCACACTCCCCATTGAAAAAAAAAGCCCATCACCACCCAATCCAATTTTTTTTCTTTATGTGGGGGTGCACACCCGGGTGTTGGATCCGGGTGTGCACCAATCAAGGTCCAAACAAAAATTTTGGATAAATGTAGTCGATAATTAATTGAAAATGATTGTTACATTCTCGATTTAATATATTTTTTGACACATTTTTATTTAATTATTAAAAATATAATATAAATACAATCAATTCAATTAGTTTTTGTATTATGTGTATATAATTGTATTATTACACTTATTTGTATTTAATTTTATATTAAAAAATAATAATTTTTTAATGAATGTGTCATACAATGTGTTGAATGAAGTGTATACCATATAATTAATTATATGAATAGAAACAAACAGAGAAAAATTAATTAGGGGACAATTCGATTTCTAATGGCTAATATCCTGTTTACTCAAGATTTAGTCCGGAATTAGATCGGGAAAGAGAGGCGGACCGACATTATTTTTCTTATTAAATTTATAAATTTATCTCACTTATCTTTTAAATATATAAATTAAAAGTGTAATAAATATATTTTTCATAATTAATTCATATATAAAATAAAAATAAAATTAACTTTAATTTTAATATTATTGTCATGTGTATAATTTTTATTAATCAATTAATTAAAATTTAAGTTTACTTTTATTAATTTTTATATAAATTAATTATAAAAATATATATTTATTATATCACTGATATATGTTTTCAAAATATAAAATAAAAAAATCCTAAATTTATTAAGGGCACTACTTTAATTGTAATTTTTTTAATCTTATTTAAAAATTAATTTTAATATATTAATTAATAACATTAATATATTTTATTAATTATTAATTATTTTTAATAATTATATTAAAATACAAATTTAACAAATTTTAACGACTCTAGCAAATTTAATAATAATTATCAGCATACGCAAGAGGGGCCCTGCTATGTGCTTGACAAAGATTGATTGAAAAATAAGGCCTATGACACAGTCTCCTAAGAGTTTTTGCTGGCTTTGTTGAAAGAGTTTGGTTTTTCTGGTCATTTAATTATTTAGTGGACACAAGAGTGCGTGATGACATGCATGTTCCCTGTAGTAATTAAAGCTAGCTACGCGGTTGGTTTCAAGGGTAGATAGGGTTGAGACAAGGCCACAAGGGACCCGATTGTTCCCTTATCCCTCTGTTCTAGACTGAAGTCATGAAATACTTTTCCATTAATCTAATAGATTAACTCTCATCATACCAACCTGACCAATGTTGTCTCATTCTAATTAACAAAGAAAGTAGAAAGTAGTTGGGTGGGCCAAAAAAATTAACCACAAGCTTCCCCATCGCCCAAAAAATAAAAAATACCACCACCTTGGAAGCAAACTTGCAATTTTCATGACAGTACTTCATACCTTCGGCCAATCGCAATAGAGAAACTCCAAAAATACTTGTCCTTCCGGGGTACTATAGATCACTCAGTTTTCTTCTTCTTCTTCTTCTTCTTTTTTTTTTTTAATACTAGTCTGATAAAAAAGCAGACCATCCACAACTACGAAATTCAAGAGAGGAAATACTTTCTAGTGACCTCTTCCACACATTTTCAATCATTGTTAACTAGGTAAGGGAGAAATTAAAAGTCCTTTCCTTGTTCCCCACGATTGGAAGCATTGGAACTGTCCCACATGGCCGGAGACCTCATCAACTCTTCTTGTGACTGTGGAGAGTACGCAGAGGACGATGACGTTAAGGTGAATGGAGAAACATTTGGCGAGAGACGTTGGTTTGGATTCAAAAGATTTGAGGTGTAATAAGAGATATCTTCTTCATTGTTACTAGAGAGCAGTTGTGCGTACTGAAACAAGTGCGGATATGATTCCTGGGACGTCCACGGTGAAGGTGGAGGAACTACAGGGGTGGGATTTTGTTCTGGGCGCGAGGCACTTGAATCTCCACCACTGCTTGCAGGGAAATAGCGGAGCTCTATATCGCTTTGTACTCGTTCGGGGAAGTTTAGCTTGGCCTTGTTACCTTTGAACTTTAACGCTGCTTTATCATATGCAAGGGCCGCCTCCTCTGCAGTGTCGAACGTGCCAAGCCAGACTCTAGCTGCCTTCTTCGGGTCACGTATTTCAGCTGCCCATTTGCCCCAGGGTCTTTGCCTTACTCCTCTGTAGTGTCGTCTTCTCGGATTTTCTTCATACAAGTAAAAGGCAAAGACATAAGAATACAAATTAATATTTTCTAGGCTGTTCTTTATGTGTGCATTTCCAATATGTCTTATTTCAATTTTTTCGAATGATATGTTAGCACTAGAGAAATAAAAAAAATAATATAAACAGCATAAATTATTTGTCCTAAAAACATCTTAATAGGTTGATCTTATTAAAGTTAAGAGAGTGGACAATAATGTCATATAAACATATGTTTATAACAGCCCCATGAACATTTCCAATGTTTATTAATTTAGATTGTTAAAAGAAATCAAATTCAAATTTTAAGATAAGTAAATCAAATATCAGATAAAAAGTGATATAATGACTACATGTATGGCCTCTAGCACATATGTCCTGCATTTAGTCCAACATCGGGATCCTGGAAACCAAATGTTACTTTCAGAGCGCTTATTCCCCCTTTTTTTTTCTTTTCCAAAAAAATCTAACAATCTATGGAAGGGGGAGTTAGAGGGGGAGTTAGAATTTAGAACTTCTTAAAACCTCAACCTACATACATGCTTTAATCATTAAATTACAACTAGTTTATTTCACAATCATCATCTTATCCATTAAATTATAAAATCAAAGACTAATAATTTACCATCAGTTCTCTATTTAACCATTGACTGGAATAACTGTTATAACAATTTTTCTAAATTCAATAGTTTAAATTGTGCATATATAACACTTTATTTATTTATTATTAATGTAAAACTGTCATATGTATAAATGATTGATGACTCAAATAACAGATTAGCAAAATGCATTGTGTCCTGTAACACTTAATTCATTCATGTTGCATGTTTTTCCCATGCACTCACTACACGATGTATAAAGAACGCTAACTAGATTATGATGCGCATTATATGTATAAAACACAATGCGCACCTAGTTTTAGTTCTAACCATGTGAACACTGACTTCATCATGCATTCTTTTAAAGGAAAAGGTCAAGTTTTAAAGCACGAATAAGTGCACTTGTCCCCATCAAAGCTGGGTTCCAAAGAAATAGCTAGACAGGTAAACTTGCAACCCTTATTAACAAGTAAAAAAAAAAAAAAGGATTGATACATATCTAATTTAATATATTTTTTAGTGTTTGTTTGAATTAAATTATTAAAATATAATATAAATATAATTAATTATATCAATTCATACCTGTATAATTATATTTTTAAATTTATTTATTTTTAATTTTAAATTAAAAAATAAATTTTTTCTAATAAATATATTATATAATACAAACCCACCGCTGTCGGTTAAAAAAAAAAAAAATCTCTTTAATCTCTAAATTTCAATATCAATTATAAGTTCAAGGAAAAAATAAGATAGAATTTTGATGAAAAACAAGACAGAATCAATCAAAGTCTAGAGACTATAGGTTACCCATCTGAAAGAAAAAAAAAAAAAAAAAAAAAAAAAAGAAAGAAAAGGAAGAGGAAAAAGAAAAAGAAAACAACTCTTTGCTTACAATTTTGGATGAACTTGCTCTGGAGGAATAAGATGGACTTGTAGAAGGTGCTCAAACAACAGATAATTATGCATACAATCGGCTACAACTTTTGCCACCTGCACTCATTGAAAAGTAATGTTAAAACAGGCAGACCAGAGAATCCATGTCGTGCTTTGGCATCAAATACTACACAAATGTAGAAGCGTACCTGAGGGTCTTCAAATTCTACGAAGCCAAAATGCTTTGATTTTCCGGTATGAGTAACACCAGATCATTAAAAGGCAAAAGAGAATGAAAGTTTAGCAACAACTATAATGTTGAACATGCAACTGAACTACAATTAGAAGCACAACATGGATCTATTATGCAACTAATTCAACAAAAGTGAAAAATGCTGGTGGGATACCCACAATCAGAACATTAAGCAAATTACATTTGTGAATACAGACAGACATACATTGAAGCCTCACCTTTTTATTACCAGCAATCCTTCATCTCTTGATGGTACCAAATTGCTGAAAATAAGCA